CCAATTCGACCAGGAATCAGGTGGACGAAGAACCACTATGTGGATGTGCTACCTGCAAATCGTTGTTTATTTATCTATTTTATTTATTTACAAGACGTGTTTCCAAAATCAGAGGATATTTTGCAGGAAAAAAGTAAATGCTCGATGGATTCAACCTCGGTTTGACAGATATCACATTTATCTGATTCAACCTTGTCAAAACGAAAAAGTTTCGATACGGTTTAACATTTTGTACTGAAATTCCCTAACTGTTGTGTTGCTACGTTTGTACAGAAGATAGTGAGTAAATTCTTTTCCAGTCAATAGTTAAATGATGATACTTTGCAGATAGCTTCTCTTCAGCGGTAGGTGTGGTTTCAGTTTTTTCGCCAGAAAAGACCGATAGAATTGGAATTGGAATTAAGATATTTATCAAAATAGCTGGTGTATTTGACAGAGGAGAAATTTATACTGGTGCAATATTAGCTGTTCGAATTGCCAAACGCCCTGCTGCTGGAATGGAATTAATTACATTCATAATGAAAAAACTTTGTTCAGGGTTAGTTCTTCATCATCAACCGAAAATAAGTCCCAGATTTTACAATAGCCTTTAGTATATACACACTGAGTGATCTTGGTGATTTAAGCAATCTGATTGGTTCGCTATCTCGGACTATTCAACAATATTCACCTCCTAGCGAGTGGATAATGTGTGAGCTCGTTTTTTTTCCCATTTTCTTAGAGAAAGATCTTTTAAAAGTCGACAAAATCCTAGGGCTGACTTTTTCTCAGGCAAGAAAAGACTTCGAAGGATTCAAAACGGCGTTTTTCCATTTACTGTTGTTGAGTTTTGTGGTCGATGGAAGAGGCCGTTTTGTAAACTCAGCGTTTCCTAACAAGAAACATTTGGCCCAACAACGAAGTTTATTTATGACAAACAAATTTGAAAGCAAATGTTTGCAGAAATTCTACGTTTCAAGTAAACACGAGAAAGAATGCTACATGAAAACGACGTCTTACCTCGAGGATTTCCATTTACTGTTGTTGAGTTTTGTGGTCGATGGATTGTTTACAACTCCCGTTTATTCGCCTAGAAGAGACCGTTTTGTGAACTCAGCGTTTCCTAACAAGAAAAATTTGGCCCAACAACGAAGTTTATTTATGACAAACAAATTTGAAAGCAAATGTTTGTAGAAATTCTACGTTTCAAGTAAACACGAGAAAGAATGCTATATGAAAACGACGTCTTACCTCGAGGAACCGAATCGCCATTTTTGTCAGCACTTCATGCGAAGAACAACACAACAAACCTTTTTGGCTATAAACTTGGCGAGTCAACAGAAAACAACAAAGCTCTTCTTTTCTTCTCAGGTAAGGAAACAATTCAAACTTTTAGCGGTTTCATTGAAGCCATTACGCTGTTGTTTGCGCACTTGATAAGCTTGTGAATTGAATTTGAAAATTCTACAAAGATCTATTTTTAAACTGTCGCGTGTCTAGCTGACCTGATCTGTCAATCAAATCGTTTCCTCTCTGATTTTGTTGAGATCGCTTCGTGTGCATATACTAAAACAATTATTCGTTTCAATCTCGGGGAATAGTGGCTTTAGGAATATTGACCTCGCCACTTCGTGGCACGGTAATATTTTGCCACTATTCACTTCGATTTCAAAGAATAGTTGTTAATGATCCGCAATATCTCTTCGGTAAACAGATATCTTATCAACACTGAGGAAACTTGTTGTTCCAGATAACTTGATTTGTAATTTCGGGTACTCAACTAGGTTCCCTTTTTTATGGCAATAAGTTGCAAATCCCTCTTCTTACTCAGTTACGTTTTCAGGGCAAAATATCAACATTTTCAAATTGTCTCTACTAAATTTAATGTTTTCGTTTGTACTGCTTAAAAACGTGGATTATCTTTTTTATTCCATTTTATTTAGTTAGCCTTGCGGAGTAACACAGTTTGAGTCAACAATGCCCATTTTATTTTGATAGACCCGGTTGAAGGTTTTTTTTTAACTAAAATATTAGGTGATAAAATTACGTTTCTTAAGCTGTCCGATCAACCTTGCCAGGAGGCTTCTTAAATTGCACTTGGTGTTGAGTCAGGTGGAGGGAATTCCGGAATTCGGGGAGGGAGGGGGCTCCCGTATTTTCACTGAGCGAGCATCTGTCTCTGGACAGAGTCATGTCAGTGTACAGTTTTACTATTTAGGGTCTTGAGCAGGATGTCCTTTTGCATTTCTTTTAGCGGTGAGCGGCATGGTCTTCATTTGCGTTACAAACAACGTTTTTCCAAAAAATCTAATTTTATGGTCGTGGTTTAAAAAATTGCTTTATTCTGTTTGCGAAACGGCATGAGTATGAGGTCTCTTGCTTTAAATAGGGTAGTGAAATGAACGATTTTTGTCTTAACCCTTTAAGCCCCAGTATCCAGGAACAAATTCTCCAAACCGATCTTCATAAATTTCCTTAAAGAATTAGCCGAGAGAATTTGATAAAAGATCAAAGCATTTTTTCTTTGGTGATCAATTTATTAGTTCTCATAACGTTATCTCTTGACAATGTATGGATATCTATTGGAGGAAATTGATCAGTTGGTCACCATTGAGACGTAAAGGGTTAACAGGGTCTTTCGAGAAACGGGCCCAAGGGCCTGAAGGCTTCGGCGGCACACTTTTAGCCTTGCCGTTTGTTCCCCTTACCCCCGGTTTACTTCGTCAGATACGAAAACAAATGGTTTTTCTTTGAAACACTTCACTCAGCGGTTAGAACTCTGCAAGATGTGCTTTTAACCTGTCGCGTTTTCTCATTTTCTCAGAAAGCTATTAAGGTGGATATACTGTAAAATTCCGAAAATAAGCCACTCCAAACTCGTAACGCAAAAAACCCTCCATTAAATCACCCCTCCAAATATAAACCCCTCGAGGGGCTTGTACTCGGAAATTGCCCTCAAATACAAAGTAAAACAAGGCAAGAACGGTAAATTTCCTTCCGTTTATAAGGCAAGCCCACTCGATTTTGAAACGCAAATTTCCCTCCGTAGATAAGCCCCTCAAAAAGGGTCTTTGAAAAATATAAGCCCCGGGGCTTATTTTCGGAATTTTACGGTATAGTTAAACAACATCTGTCTCCTTAATAACTTTTTTAATGACGTGGGTCACGAGCGCTAATTGTGAAAGCTACCAATGTTAAACTATAAACCCACGTCATACGGCTTACTACATTAAAGAACCTCTTGTCAATGACCACATTTTCATTAATTTTAGATTCATATTTTGATCAAAATTGACGAAGAAGACATTTATCACGCATTTTGTACTTAAGAGCCAATGTCGGAAAATATCGCGAATCTCAAATCAGTTGCAAAAATTCCAATTTTGGCTGATACCACCCAAACATCCCTTTAGGGGAACTCTTTCAAGAAATGATATTAAGAAATCCCCAAGCGCTTTACATTTTGAGAATTTTAGAAAAGTTCGAAAATTCGCAAAAAATACATTTTTTAATTCAGAAAATGGGTGCAAATTTCAACAGATTTCAACGAAACAGTACAAGCGCGCCGCAAAAGCTCCTATTGACTTGATATTGCTCATGTATTTAGCAGACATCCACAGCTTTAAGACCGCGTAAAAAGGTTTTGCAAAATTACTATTTTAATATAGTTTCTGGCTTTTATTGTGTGCGCTCTGATTGTGTGTTGCTTTGGCCGTCAAAAAAATGCCCAACTTCAACCGTCAAAAGTCGATCCTGGTATGTCACAAATTGAAAAAATACTATACCAGACGAAAAACCTGTTATTCTTTTAATTACACCTGAAGTTTTAGCTCTGCGAATTTAAACGCTTTCGAGAAATAAAATTTTAACTTTTGCCCCCCAAGTCGCCTGTCCGCGACAAGAACGGGAATGTAAACAAAGGAAAACATATGCAAATCGAGGAGAAAATCACACGGAAGTTATAGCTAGCACATCAAAGCGCAAAAAATTGATGAAAATTCTGTTATCTAATCAATTATTGGTACCTGGGAAGCTACTAAAGCGTAATTGTTCATAAAACAAGGAAAAAAATAAAGAAGAGTGATAGGACAAATGCAATTGCTCACAAATTTTGATCGGGTAAATTCCCGATACTGAAGTAACAGGCGTTCGGTCTATCAATCATTTCTGTCAACTTCAAAACCCCATTGGCCAAACTATGTCAGGAAAAAAAAGTTACTTAGATAAAAATGAACTATGAAACCCAAGTCAAAACTATTGTAAATCCGGACCTCTCAACAAAATGGAATTACAGCGGCTATCAAGACCACAAACAAACACTAAGTGGACCGTAATAATTGTTTCCCAAATAAAAGAGATTGTTCGGGCCCAAAGCCAAAAGGCTTTAAGATGCAAGTATTTCAAAGCAAACATTTACAATAATGGTGAACACACCTTCCTGAAGGGTCCTCAACAGACATCCATCTTTAAGCTTTGAGATTATGAAACACGAATATTGGTTTTCGACGTTCGTCCAGGATTTGTATAAACTACTGTAATACCATCAAAACCCAGTCACAGTTTTAGCAAGTGTTCATATCTTTCTCGTGATGTAAGGCTCTTAAGGTTACCTGAATAAAATGACTTTAAACTAGCGACTAACTGCAAATTGTAATCTGTAGTATACGTCCGTAAAAAGATTTCGGCGCCAAATGTTGGTTCTCCTAACTTGGTGTCAAGTTACGTGTATGGTGATTTGAATAAATTACTCTCCAGCCGCTCACGCAATCTTTCCCGTGTACACGTAATCACCTAATTCTGTACAGTATGTCGAAATCTAAAAAGAACTGCATTGCATAATCAACACATGGTATAACCTACAGCATTTATAACGAACGTGTGTGGAAAGAAAAAAATGTTGTGTACTTTTTCGACTCTTGTTGGATGGGAATTTTAAATGCGGTGTTAGCCAGGAATATCCTGGTCAATACCAATGTATACCTCTTGGTAAATGCGAACGAGACATCACGAGACATCTGGAAATGTATGGCCTCAGTGAAGATCCATCGTTGGAAAGTGAAAGGAAACTGCTACTAGCTCGTGCAGGTCAGTAAATGACAAGTGGTCGAATTTTACTTTGTTTTGATGTTCTGTCAGCACCTAACACAATTCTAATTCCGAAGGTTTTTTTCTAATCAGGAATTTTTTCGCCGGATGTGTCTCATGACCTTATAACTATATGTCCCCGTCATCGGGCGGAATATGGTATAAGATGGAGAACAGGGAAAACTATGTGTTCGGTTCCAAGCCCAATGATCGCACATAAGTCAGCAAAAGTGAAAGGAACACGCAGAATAAGCAGTCAACTATCTTCACTTATTTTGAAGGAAACAGACCAGCTAATTGTTGTTGGATCGCGTAAGTGATTTTTACGTTATGTCTTGTAATTTTACTGAAATTCTTAGGAGAGATTGAACGCTCTGACTCTGTTAGTAACAAACAGCGGTTGGGTAAGGAAGTGATGGAATACAGGGGTGGTTTATTCACCAGCTGGAAGTTCGGGTTTGTTTTTGATCCTCGGCCGCATGACCTTCAACTTCCTGCGCTTGAGCTTTTCCACATTGCATTTGAGTTCTTTATGGAAAACTGATACCAAGTTCAAGAGCCCATAAGAAGAACCCCATCTCTATTAAGCCACTCCTCAGGGGGGTAAGTCCCCCATCTCTACTAAGCCACCCCTAGGGGCCTTAATCGAGGATTTTCTAACATACTATTATTTCACATTAGCTATTTGCTCGACTTGCTTTGGACATCTGACGAGGGAAGAGGAAAAACGTCTAATGGGCGCTGGAGCAATAGAGAAGGGATCAGAAGGACCTAAGGAAGCTAAAGCTGAAGAGGAGAAGTTAGAAGGATCTATGGAAAGTGGGGATGAAGTAAAGAATTTAGAAGGACTCTTGGAAACTGGTGATACAAGGCTGGTATGTTGATAAGCCCATAAAATAGGTTATTTACTCAAAATATTTCTCCGTTATTGATTGGCTCAACCCCCCCCCCGCCCCTAACCCCACCCAACCTCCCCGCTTATTCTTTGTAAACAGCAAACATTGACGACGATTGTGATATCTGGAAAAAGATGTCAATATCACAGGAAAGACGCCAGAAAAAGAAAGGTCAATTGAGAATTACTGGGGTCGAGTCGAGGTTGCCACTAAGCGTAAGCCAGTTCCTGTAACGCATGAAGCACCAAAAGAAATGATTTTAGGCAGACCGAGGAAGGTGAATTCGGCCGAGGCTTATCCTCTTATCCTTACAAAATCGAAAAATGCGGCAAACCGGTTTAAACTGAAATGGGAATTAAAAGGATTCTCTAATTTGTTATTTATTTTAAATGTGTAGGAAACTGAGGAGTCGACATCTGCAGACAGTGATGTCTCTAGTGCTGTCCTTGGTGCATTAAGCAAGTTAGAAATTGCCGATGAGACCTTTTTAAGCCCTGAAACCAGGAGCACAACGTCTACTCAAAGCGATGAAATTGTTCCCTCTCAAGCAACAGCCGCAGAAATGCAGCGTAGCCTTCTGAATGAGTTCTTGGTGGCTTGGAATATACCGCCGCTTCAAAGAAAATGGTTGGACTTTAGCAGTTGCAGTGAATCCACTAAGCAAAGGTATACAAGAAGATCAAGCGACATCGTAGCTGCAGTGCTAAAAACAATTTCTCCCGAAGATGCTGGCCTTATTTGGAGAGCCATGACATCAACAGCTTCCATGAATAAGTTGCTTGGTATTGAAGATATCTCACAAGCAGATCAGCGTAATCTAGAAGCCCTAACTGAAGCGTATAATAACGCCGATAGCTGGGATGCCCGCCGACAAATCCTTTCTGTAATGACTGGTGTTGCTGGTTTTAAAATTTTAGCCACCTTCATTCCAGGGCTAACAAGGTACCGGTACTCTATGGCAAACCTTCAGGTTGGTCGAGGCGCACCTGTACCTCCTCGGTGTTAACAAGAATAAAAGTAGATCTAAAACAGTTAGATCATTTTCTGTGCTTTATCACAAGCCCACACTTAGTACAAGATCTTCCGTTGGGACAGAAACAGTTGACTCTTTCGACGGGTGAAGTCATTAAAGTCCCCAACGTGATAAGAACCATGATACCTTAACGAATCGTGCGTCAATATACTCAGTACTGTGAAGAGACTGGCTTTAAGCCTTTTAGTCAAAGCACGATGTTGCGCGTTTTGTCTCAATGCAGTGCGTCAGTAAGAAAGTCTCTTCAGGGACTCGATTACTATGCCGCGGATGGTACACGAGCATTTGATGACCTGATATCACTGGTGCGTAAAATAAATGAAGTGGAAAGTGACATGGATTGGGAAAGACGAATGATCGAGTCGCTCAAAGCTGCTAAGCATTATCTAAAAGGAGACTACAAGGTATGTTTTAAGCAAACAGAAAAATTTGATGGTTAATGCATTAATAAATTTGGAGTATTGATAAGTATAGGTACATTTCACCTCAGTTCCCGCCTAATCGTTAGTTACCTATAAGATACTGGAGACATCACTGTTTACAAACATTGTAATTTGTAACGAGTGAAACAAAATAGTCTTTTGTTACAAGAACCAAAGCGCTTCTACCCTGGGAGAGACTTTTCTTGCCTGGTTTCCGGTTTCTGTAAAGCCTTAACAGTGAGCCGCATTTTTCTCAAGACTTCGGCCGTCGGCCGACGCCGAGGATTCCCGCAGGCCCTCCGCGCGGAAAAAAACCCTGGTACCCAGGGTAATGCACTTCTTGTTGGCACATTAATTATATCAATAGGTGAGGTAAGCTTGAGTATCGCTATATCCTCATCCCATGTGGGAAAACGTTTGTGTGAAAAGCGTATAACTTGGGTAGCAAGCACATACAGGCGCAAAAAATATGAACCGCTGTTGCGGAGTGTAGGTGATCGCCCGAAATAAGTTGATTAAATGAGGCTTATTGCTTTTGCAATAAATTGATTTGTTTGCAGGTGCATTTGGAGAAGGAAGCTAGCATACCAGATCACTGTGTAGCGTTTTCATTGAGCGATGCTAGCGATCCAGACTACCAGGTGCAGTGCCAACACAATCACGAAGATATCTGTGAGCAGTGTGAAGCGCTAAACGAAACTTTAAGGGAAATTGACAGTCGCATTAACTGTTGCCATTTTTCATCTGATGACGAGCGTGAAGAAGCGATTTACATTCTGCAGTCATCGAAGCTTGCCATCCGTTCATGGCAGTGCCACATATTACGATCATTTAACCAAGACCAAGCGCGACTGGACTTTCTTGACCTTCTTGACAATGAGACAGTACTCATTGTCAACGACTGGGCGATGAAGTTTCTACCACAGAGGTACCGAGAATCGCAGTCTGACTGGTTCGGAAAGCGTGGCATATCTTGACACATTTCCCTGGTCTATAGAAGATCTGTCATCCAGTCATGCAGTCAGGACAGTACCTCTGTGATATCAATCATGCAGGATGTGCTTCGCTCTGTCAAATCCGGGTATCCAAACGTAACGAAGGCCTATTCTCGGCAGGACAACGCTGGATGCTATCATTCGTCCGCAACGATCCTTGCGTGCCCTGTAGTTTCGAGTTCTACAGGAGTCCAGATCAGACGCATTGATTTCAGTGATCCACAAGGCGGTAAGGGAGCTGCAGATCGCCTTGCGGCCACATGTAAGGCTCACGTCCGCATTTTCATCAATGAAGGCCATGATGTCACGAATGCCACTCAATTAAAAGACGCTCTTGACTCACATGGAGGAATTGATGGCGTCCGCGTAGCGTGTTTGGATGCAGTCACAACGGCATCACCAATCAGCGAACCAGCGAAGATCCACCATGTCAGTAAACTCAACAACTTTGAGTTTACAGAAGGTGGTATCAAAGCATGGAGGGCATATGACATTGGCAGAGGAAAAGAAATCAAAGCCGATACCTCGACAACAGGTAACGCACAGTCTTGAAGTTTTTGTTTTTGTTGTTTGTATTTGGGACCCTCGACTATTTTAAATTTTCATTAAAAAAACTTAAGGATAGCTAAGAAACCCCTACGTAACCGGGAAGATCAACTCAAAAGCAATAAGAGCAATGGAAAAAATAATACCAATATAGCAATACATACAAAGCTCCTAAAACTGAAACACAATAAAATAATATCTATCTCTACACTGAATTTGTTCGTTTACCCAGTGTCGTTTTGACACTTATAAATTTCCCTATTTACAGAATCCGAAAACAGGTGGCTAGAATCTACATTTTCTCCGGGGAAATTCAAGTCTTTCGGCCATAAAGAGAAAAAGCATGTTGACGACGACGAGTCTCCCAAAACAAGAGAGAGTTCCAGTGACGTACAGGAGAGTCAGACAAACCATGGTTTATACACTTGCCCCGAGAGTGGATGTACAAGGGTTTTCCAAAGACATTCGGCATTAACGAAACATCTGTCCTCTGAGAAATGCATACGGTCCTTGGAAAAACACACTCTTATGGATCTTGCTAAGCTTGGCTGTCAGCAGGTTTTAGAAGAGGGTGTCGGTGTCGTGCCAACCTTAAGAACCACCAGCGTTGCAAACAAACAATCCGGAGAACGTTTAACAGAGGGATGGGCGTTGCGACCAGCTAAGAAGGCGTACCGTTTTAGTGAAAAGCAGAAGGCCTACCTCACTGCTAAATTCAACATTGGTCAGTCCACTGGACGGGAAAGTCGACGCAAGTCTTGTAGCATGTGATATGAGACGTGCCCATGGTTCGAATGGCGAGCGGCTTTTTAAATCAACCGAATTTCTGACCTCTCAGCAGATTTCTTCATATTTCTCTCGCCTTTCCGCGACAACTCGCCAACAGACCCTCACCCATGAAGCCGACCTTACCGCCATTGAAGATGAAATAAACTTTTCCAAGGCTAGAGACCAAGTGATGGCTACTGTCACACTCCAACATCCCATTGTTTTTGACCAGTACAACATCTGTGCCATGGCAGAAGAAGACACATTAAAGAACTTGAAGGTTTCGTTGCTTCAGGTGATTTGTCAAGGCCTCAATCTTGACATTCCCGATCAACCAATTCGCCGTAAAGCTCCATACCTGAAGTTGCTCAAAGAAGCCATCAGTAATTGTGGATGCCAAAGCCAAGGATGAAATTGAGCACTGAATAGGTGACGCTAGTCCGGGGGGGGTACTCCTGAAAATTCTTGGTGGGGGTGTGCCGCCTGTTTCTCCTAATTCTGACCCTACTCCAGACCAAAAAATGTCATTTTCCACACCCGTTTTCAGACCCGACCACTAAAATCCATACCCGTTTTCAGACCTGGCCTTTAGGAAAAATTATGTTATCATTACTTAGATTAAAGCGTAAACAAAAAAAAATTAAATCCATCTCGAATTCGCATAATTATCTTTCTTTCGTTCTCATTTGGAATTGAAACGATAAAAACTGTCATACACTCCCGTAGTTCCTTCGAAAACCATACACGATTCCATACCAAACTGGGCAAAGTGTGTACCCGTTTTCAGACCAAAAAGGCCCAAAACCCCTACCCGCTGGGGCGGCACATACCTATATGCCTTGTATAAGGGAGTACCCCCCCCCCTCCCGGGACTAAGTCCTGTCCCCGTTTTTTACTTGGCACCAATCTGTCGGTCGTTTTTTAAGTGATATTTTACGAAAGTAAAGAAAAATAAGTGGAGATCTTAGGCTCGGTTTGGGCCGCTGCTATTGTTAAATTTTTCGGAATTTTGGCGCGTCGATGTGGTAGTGAAAAAGTAGAGAGGTAAGGGAGAGAGATTAGGATACGAAAGGTACCGTGGGGTTTGACCGTGGGTCCCGATTTTCTTTCTTTCTAATAGAAACACTCTCAATAACAGGTCAAAAATTTTCTAAGTGTCTTAAAAATGGCAGTGACCGTTTACGAAAGGGACAACTGCTTAGCCGCTCCCTCCTCTCTGAGAAGAGACTTTTTGGGGGAGGAGCGCGGGCTCATTTCCTAAGCAACTGCTGGTAATCGAGCCTACGAAAATCTCAAATACTTTAGTTGTAAGAGACGGACCATTACAAAAGTTATGGGGGGTGGAGTATTTTAGAGCCGCGTGTCGAAGAATACTTTATCGTTGACATTTCCCTTGCTTGAACTTTGTTAGGCCAATGCGGGAGTATTTTTAAGGCTACTCGGCGTGCATGAAGTTTTTTTTCAGAATTTTTCCTTGCATACTGGAAAAAACGGGAAATTCTGAATACAAGATGATGTTTTTGTTAATGAAAATTTAAACGGAGATGGCTTGTGTGCTCCAGGAGATTCTGTTAGTTTTGATTGCACAGTCCTTCTTTATTCATTGACAATTGTGCAATGTTTTGCAGGTGACTACCTTAAAAGAAATAACTAAATAATATGTTTTGTATTTCATTTTCACAAACCGTGTACAGCAAATCACGTGACTTGAAAAATGTGACAGGTAACACAACACCAAAAAAACGAGATGAATTGGCTTCTTCGTTTTCTGTGTTTATGGGAGGATTATTAACTCCCTATCTATAGTTCTAGTAAACAAATAAGTTAGTCTTTTTTTATGAAATGTATAAACAAGACGAAGGGTTTTACTCTTCTCCTGTGGAACTTGGAACATGTAACACGACATAAGATCAGTAAGTAAACATTCCTGATATTTACATAATTAAAACTTTGCGATGCGGGAAATCTAATTCTTAAGTTAGCATTATACTTTTTAAAGATTATTGTAATATATGTTTTATTTCGTTGAATCTTGTTTCGGTTTTTTGGACTTAACATTGAGTACGATAGCCAAGGAACGGACCATTTAAAATGGAACTGTCGATGGCCGGCCCGCCTCTGTCATTTTATTTCTTATCTCTTGTAATTTTAAGGGTCACTTGTAAAAATAAACTTACTATGGTTCATTTCTATCATACCTCAAAATATCAGTCTACTTTACTGACATTGTTTGCTTGCTCCATGGTGCATTTTGAAAGCTTCTTTAGAAGCTTTTTTACCTCCGGAACCATACACACGAGTTCCCGTCCGATGCGATTTCATGACCCTAGCCCTCCAGCCCTTTTTATAGCTTTTTTATTATTATTGGACGGATAATTTCGTTTTATTAGTCTCTCAGATAGAAATACCTGTTAAGGTAACAGAATTCCACCAATTTTTTGCGCTTTGAGGGGTAAGTTATAACTTCCGTATGATTTTCTCCTCGATTTGCATATGTTTTCCTTTGTTTACGTTCCTGTTCTTTTGTTGCGGACAGGCGACTTAGGGGGCACAAGTTGAAATTTTATTACTCGCACGCGTTTAAATTCGCAGAGCTAAAACTTCAGGTGTAATTAAAAAAATAACAGGTCTTTCGTTTGGTATAGTTGTTTTTTCAATTTGTGACATACCAGGATCGACTTTTGACAGTTGAAGTTGGGCGTTATTTTGACTGTCAAAACAACACACTATCGGAGCGCACACAATAAAAGCCAGAAACTATATCAAAATAGTTATTTTGCAAAACATTTTTACGGGGTCTTGAAGCTGTGGATGTCTGCTAAATACATGAGTAACATCAAGTCAATAGGAGCTTTGGCGCGCTTGTACTGTTTCGTTGAAATATGTTGAAAGTTGCACCCATTTTCTGAATTAAAAAATGTATTTTTTGCGAATTTTCGAACTTTTCTAAAATTCTCAAAATGTAAAGCGCTTAGGGATTTCTTAATATCATTTCTTGAAAGAGTTCCCCTAAAGGCATGTTTGGGTTGTATCAGCCAAAACTGGAATTTTTGGAACTGATTTGAGATTCTCGATATTTTCCGACATTGGCTCTTAAGAGTGGTTGTCAGAGAAAATCGGGCAAAATGTGAAAAATGTCAACGGAATTGGGGTCAACAGAATAAGTTCATACTAACATCATAGATAGGTCGGTGGAGTAATGGACAAATACAATAAACATAGGTTCTTCACTGCTCTTGCATTACGAGAGATACGAGCATCACTTTATTCGACCCCCTCGGACGCCATTTTTATGAGCAAATTTTCACCACTTTCTGAAACTCACAGAGCCCTCAAAATTTAACGAGCAAAGTTTATTTTTTGCATGCGATAGAACACAACACAGAACTACTTTCTCAAGCCATAAAATTCGTTTAAAGAGCGACGGTCAGGAAATATAGACCATCGAGAGTGGAAAGAGTTGAAAAATCGATTCCCTTCATTTTTTGTCCATAAATAGCTTTTAGGTAGATAAGTAATCTGATGTAAGTTGTTCTCGCAAAAAGCCTTTCATTTTCGAGAAAACTAAAAACAGTTTTCGTGGTCGGAGTCTCAAAATGGCCGTATTTTCAACCCGAAATTTGCTAACATCAACTCTCCTTCTCCTCGCGTTCGCAAATAAAGCCCCAAGAAGAAATTTGGACACTTCCCATCAATAGAACAACTCTTCTTCTTTCACTAGAAGATACTTTCAAAGCAATATCAAGGCTCGTTGAAGTAACGTAATTCAAAAACGAAGAACAGGTTTTTACGGTGACAAAAACTTTAATTTAGTAGTTGTTTTCTGCGGTAATTTTCTTCACGTGGTATAGCAGCAAATTTTCCCCGCCCTCGTTTATTCATACATTTAGACATTCATCTAAAGCATACCTGAGAATTGGCTGGGGTTCCTTTAGGCAGCCTCCAAACGAAAGCATCGAAGTCCGGTTAAAATAGTGGGGCGTGACCAAAATAACATATTTAACGGCCCCAAGTTTCCTCGATCGTAAAGTAACAAGACGAAATATCTTCCTGTTCCGTCATCCTTAGCGAAGTACCATTGTTAAAGTCCTTATTTTTCGATAAAAAGTGAGTACCAGAAAAAGAGCGTTTGGTTTTTTCTTCTTCAAAATACTGTCGGGATCGAAAATGTTACTCTTTCAAGAATTGCGTTGCGTTACTACCGTGATTCCGTGACTGTCATTTTGACGGCTCCGTCTCACGTACGTTATGTCACGTGCAGTCACGGAACAGATTGTCACGCAGAGTCGCTGGCTGGTAGAGTTTAGTGTTTCAAAATGACTAAAATTGACCCAGTTTCAACTTTTTACCCCACTCTTTGATTGAAAAAAGGAATTGCTATTGTCCTGAAAGTATCTTTTAGTGGAAGAAAAATAATTTTTCTGTTCATGGAAAGTGTCCAAATTTCTCCATGAGGCTTCGTTTGCGAACGCGAGCAAAGTTAATGTTAGCGAATTTCAGGTTAAAAATTAGGGCAGTCGAAAACCGATCTTCTAATTTTTCTCACAAATAACAAGCTTTTGGCGGGAACAATCTACTTTAGGTTTCTTATCAACTCTTGCCACGAAATTAAGATTTTGGTCGATTTTTCCTGGCCGTCGCTCTTAAGTAGCCAGGGACAAGCCTAAAATTTTCTCATTTTGTCTGACCTAAACTCGGTGTCTGCAAACGAGCCAAAAATCGTGCATTTTTGAATTGATCCACAGCGCACAATTAAATCAGTAGAACAACTCTGACAGCCAAATTGCAGTCTACTATCATCCATGTAACCAAAACACTTATAATCATTTTGGGCCACTGAAACAGGAAGAAATTTGAAAACTCACATTTGCTATAGTTTCGAAGCTTTTTCTTGTAAACAGGCCGATCCGGTCTTCGTGTTTGTTTTAAGTCCTCTTCGTGAATTTTCTTTCATATTTCGCTGTAAAGTATGTTCAGCAGCTGGAGGACATATCAAAAAGCTC